TCACTCCGACTTGTATGAGATGTTTCCTCACGAAGAATCCCCCACGACCTTTGCTGATATTTTCAAACAAGGTACAGGTTACTGATTTTTCTGATGTTATGATCTGTGCAAGGTTTTGTCCTTTTGGCCTCTAACGTATTCTCCTTTCAGGCAGAAGCTACGTAACAGCCAAAACTTTGACAATAAATGTTTATTGTAACGATATAAATTCAGGGAGGCAGTATTCTCCTCGTTGATCTGAGTAGTCGTAAATGCATCGCGGAACTGAGCGCACCGCAGAGCATACACGAAGTAGAGGTAGTGCAAGATGAGGATGCCACTGATGTTTTGGTAAGCCGGAAGCTGTATCTCTCATCCTTGTATCTATAGAATTTTCTCCAGCTTACCAGCTTCACAGGAGCACAGTGGATTATACCTCTCGAAAATGGAGGTCGAAGCCTCACCGAAGTTTTGACAGCGTGTATCCCGTCTGAATTTAAGAAGGTTGGGTATTTTTTCAATATGACCTTAATCCAAAGAAAACACTTAAGGTTGAACCATCCACTTCACACTTGGGCATCTGCTCGGAGGGTGTAACCGTACTGGACAGCGCTGGATGTTTTGTAGAATTGCACTCAAGTCTGTCCATAAATGGAGGAGTTCCCAAAAAGCGATACAAAGTAAGTGAACGCTCTCAACGTCGAGATTTTTTGAAAATGTGATGAATAGAGTCCGTACGTCTGCATTTGACTTTCATCACTTTCTCTTTTTGACCTTTGCTTATTCCCAGCATATGAGCTGGTAATGAATACATTTTACGTTTTCGTCTTCTTGACTTTTTGCTTGTCGTTTATTGAATTTTTTACGTACCAATAAGTGGGACTTATATGACATCTGTTTACTCTTGTTGTGGCAGCACTGAGCTCACATTTCTTCGAAGTTAAGCAGAACTTGTTAAAGTCGCTTCAGCTACCGCCCGATACTTGGATGGTGCATTACACTGGGAGTGTTCTATTCGCAGTTTCAAAGCAAGCAGAAGTGAGGAGTGCTATGCATTTTGGAGTACGTTTGCGTATTAGTATCTGATGTACGCCATTGATGTAATCACTTTGAGATGAGTGCTGTACGACTGGAGTTCTCTCTTATAAAAGGTGCATGTGAATGGCGACCGCTGGGATTCGTGTCTCTCTCCTTGCGACCTGCTCGTTTGCCTTCATGTCTGCTCATCAACGAGCGTGGTCTGATCCGCATTGTACAAAGTAGTAACAGGCGAGTTTTCTGGTTTTGCCCTTTTTTACGTCTTTTGATTCTTTTTTTTTCTGCTCCTATACGTTTGTTTATTGTTTGCTTTCTCAAACATCCTAAGAATCTTGGCATGGAGAGTACCAATTCGTGCTTGGTGCAGCTATCATTTTATTCCTGAACATTCGACTCCCGTTATCCTAGACTGATCCACATTTGTGGCATACCATGAAAATAGTATACAAAGTGAGGGTTTTGTAAATTTTTTAGTGACAGAATTGCCCAGCGGATGCTTTTGTAAATTAATGCTGACAAAGTTGCCAGGCGGATGCGATTGGAAATTCATATCTACATTATTGCTGCCCATACAACACGGTTTTTGCTGAACTGTAACGCGAATAGCGACCTTTGATTATATAGCGGATGAGTAGGCGCACTGTATCTTTCCCTCTGTTGGATTTGCTGTGTCGGATTCGTGATCAATCTTGTATGATATGAGATTTCATCCAAACCTGTGAAGATTTTACTTACAGTTTTTATGTCTATGATTTTTGCGCCAGATGAGGAGGCTAGTGCTCAAGTTGAACGAGAATTTTTCGTGCACTTTGAGCATACCACAAACAAAAACATTTTCTGAAAAGTTCAATATACGTCCACTCTTTGAGCATCGACAGCCGTCTACCTTGAGGTTTTGTTGACTAGCAGCTGTTTGCTAATATGAGTTCAGACACTCCCTCTCTCGTAGTTCCTCAACCTGTTGTTCACATTCCTTTACCTCTGTGCTGGCTACATTCTCATTGTCTTCCCTGACATACTTCGATTGTTTTGTATCTGAAATCAATCTTTCAATCACCTATTTATTGACTTCAGTCCTCTGGAGAACATCGCCGCAGAGTTCCTATTTCGAGTTCCTTCCTTTTCTTTGGCGGCAGTGCAGCAGGTTGCCAGAGCCTGTTCAATAGACGGCACTCAATTGCAGGTGATTTTCTTCATGTTTTTACCCGAATATTGCAGTTTCGGATAGTTGCTAACACTTTCTTTCACCTTTGTTACACAAGCTTTCGATTGCGTAAGTATATAGCATTAGAAAAATTGTTGCGCTAGTTTCAAAACCAAAAGCATCAGAAAATTTTCACCTAAATGAAGTGACAATTCATCATTTGGGTTTCTGTGATCGTAGTGGTTTTCCTGCTCATCGCGGATTATCATGTATATTGTAGATTTTAGTTAGATGTGTCAATTTTCTATCCCTTTCAGCGCAGTGTAGTGCCAACGTTGTTGTCTGCGAGGCGTGGAAAGTCTTTGTCGGCTACTGATCTTTCTCATTTATTGCTTCTATCGAAAGTAGTAGGGGTGAGTCGATCACAGTCTTTTAGTAACTTTCCATTACCCATCAGTCTACAGATCAACATGGAGAACTTGGTGGATTTGTTTGCTACTTATCAACAGGAGGAACAGCTGTTGCCTGAGGTATGCTGTTCTTTTGCACGTAGACATCCTTGTTTTTTCTTGAAACTGATCAGGAAGTGCATCTTTCAATAACAAGGACAGATTGTATTACTTTTTTCTCATGTTACATTTCTTGTTTCACAATTCAGTGAAAAGGCTTTTTTCTTATTTTTTGATTCCCTGGAAACAGTCTATTTTTTTTCAGT